TGACCAGTCATTCCCAGTCTTTCTGCTGTTAGGGTCAGTTTGCATATTACCCTTTTACTATATAGGATAGAGGCCTGGTGCACGGGTGGGGGCTGGCTGGTTTGCCCTGAAAGGTGATCTGGAACAGGGTTGGGGTCCCACTTGGGTGCCTGGCCAGCCTGGATGACGGGCTGATGGCTGTTTGCAGCTGGTCACACCCCCTTCAGGGTGGGGGTCCCCACTGGGGTGCCTGGCCAGTCTGGATGAGGGGCTGAGGGGGCCGTTTTCAGGCTGGCGGGCGACTGAAGCTCCCAGCCTCTTTTTCTTTCTTTTTTTTAATTCTGGGATTTATTTACCTTCTATAGCTGTCACTGGAGCTGAGAGCCGGCTCTAGCTCTGAGCCCGCTGGCGGCTGAAAGCAGGTATCTGGGTTTGTTTAGCTTCTGTAATTGCAACATTGTTGCATCTGGAGCTCAGAGCTGGGCTGCGGCAGGCGGGGAACCTTGGCTTCCTTAGTCACTGGAGCAAGCAAGCCTCCTGCTCGCTTCAGCTGCGTGGCTGCCGGCTGCCATCTTGGTTGGCAGTTAATTTGCGTATTGCCCTGATTAGCCAATGGGAAGGGTAGCGAAGTTACAGTTAATTACCATGTTTCTCTATTATTAGATAGGACTAGAGGCCCGGTGCACGAATTTGTGCACAGGTGGAATCCCTCGGCCTGGCCGACGATCAGGGCTGATCGGGGCTGGCTGGCCAGGGGTAGGGGCTATGGCAGGTTGGCCGGCCGCAGGAGGTTGGCTGTGGGAGCGCACTGACCACCAGGGGACAGCTCCTGCGTTGAGCGTCTGCCCCATGCTGGTCAGTGCATGTCATAGCTACAGGAGGGTCATCTGGTTGTCCAGTCATAACGGTCGCTTAGGCTTTTATATATATAGATAGTGTATTTTTCCAAAGTGAGTTACCTTATTCTACCTAAATTGCTTAGCAAAAGAATTTAATACACTTTAATCTTGAGTTGATAAATGAATGAATTGGATATCATTGATGTGTTCAGATACATACATTTAAAGTCTATTCTTAAAAATATTTTTGTCTCATTTGGATTTATTTTATAAGAGTTATGTCTTGGTCTACTATAGCATTTAGGCTAAGTTTGTGGACGAGAATTACTTAAATTAGTAAAGAGTAGAATAATTTGAACATATTGCACATCCCTATTAACTTGTTAATATATATTTAAAATTAAATTCTACTCTTTTTGCCAAGTTTTTATTATGATTACTACAAACCCTGTCATTTTAATATCTAAAGTGCCTCTATAAGTAAGTCTAAAGTGATTATATAGTATGTCAGTTATAATCTAGATTATGTTCATTACTAATTTTTTTTACTTAAACTATTTTATTTAACAGAGTTGATATGAGTCATTCTCAATCTTTAATATGTGAAGTGATAAATGAGATTTTACCTTTGTAATTAGTGGCTGTTTTAGTAAATACGCTTCCTACATTAAAAAAAAAAAAAGCCAACCACTTTTAAGGAGGAACTGTTAGAGATAGGTTAAAATTTGTTTTAACAAACTATTATCCAAGTTATTATTGGGCTCTAGCAAGTTGATAGGTGTTGACCATGACATGGTATTACTTAATGTTATCTGTAGTCTCATCAGTATGATTAAAGTGGCTGTTTGCTCTAGAATAAATAGTTCACCATGAAACAGTGCAGGTGGCTTCCTTAGGGTATTGTGTTGGGGAAGACTCTTTAAGCAGGATGCTGACAGGAGTGTGTTCTGTATGCTTTTCTTCGTAGTTTTTTTTTTTAATAGTAGGTTCTTATTATACTTTTAAATTTGATTTATTTAGTGAATATATAGCTATACATGCTACAAAATTCAAAAGCTATACATTGAAAAGTCCTCCTCTACCTGTGTGTCCCTCTGCCTCCTTGGAGACAACCAATGTTGAAAATTAGAATTTTTTTTTTTGAAACTTTGTTTCTTTCACATTTCATGAACTGTTTTTTGTTGTTTCTTAAGGATGTATAAAATCATGCAAGAATTTAGTTGATAATTTTCTCTTAATTGATAAGCATTAAAGAGATAACAATGATTTGGGAGTTGTTTTGCATACTAAATTCAAACGAAAGCTTTAAATAAGCTTTCTTTATAATCATAGTAAAAAAAAAAAGATTATTTTTCCTTGAGAGTTTTGTGAGGGAAGAACATCATTAATCTGATAGGTAAAATGCAATCTCACTCTTAATTAACTTTTGTTAATTAAGTTGAACATTTTTTCTTGTGTTTATTGGTTTATTTCTTTTCTTGTGAGTCATGCTTACATTCTACCTGTTTTCTACATCATTCATCATTTTCTAATTGATTTGTGAGACACATTTTTCCCTTTCATTTTTAGGCTATACTGAACTAGGGAAATTAGCCTTTTGTTGTATCTGTTGAACTCATTTTTCTTGATTTGAGATTTGTCTTTTGCCTTTGTTTATAATAGATTTTACCATATAAAATATAACTTTAGTGCCCAAAATGATCCATTTTTATGACTTTTGGATTTTATTGGACAGGTAGAAAGACCTTTCCTATTTAAAAATACTTTAATGTGGTCATATTTTCTTTTTTAATGTTTTTTTTTTAAGTTTGGAGTGTTGTCCCATACTCCAAACGGTTGAGGGTTCAATTTCTGGTCAGGGCATACACCTAGGTTGTGGATTCAATCCCTGGTGGAGCCATATACAGATCCATGTTTCTCTCTCACATCAATGTTTCTCCCTCTCTCTAAAATCAGTAAACATATCCTTGAGTGAGGCTCTATAATAATAAAAGAGTAATATGCTAATTAGACCAGACTACCTTCCAGAGGAAGCCGGGGCTGTGAGGGAAGCCCGGGTCCTGGGTGCCGGAGGGAAGCCAGTGCTGGCAGCCGGGGCGGGGGGGGGGGGGGGGGGGGGGGGGCTACTCTTGCACGAATTTTGTGCATCGGGCCTCTAGTTAAAAAAAATAAAAACAATTTGCTTACCTGTTTATTCAACCAATGTTATTGATCACTTTTGATGTGATAGACAGTATTCTAAATGTTGGGGTTTATTCTAGATCTGAAGATAGAGCAGTGAACAAAGTCTCTGCCTCCACAGAGCTTAGATTCTGTTAATTTTATCTTCTAGATTTTTAAGCTGTGTTTATATCAGTGCTATTCATTAGCTTATTTGCAATAGATCATTTAATAATTTATTTACCAAATATTTATTTAGAATCTCCTAAATAATAGCTATTGTTTTGGGGGCCAGGAGTACAGTTCCCGCTCTTGTGGAGCTTTTATTGTAGAACAAGCAAACAAAGTAACATCTGCTAATGCTGTTCAGAGCACAAAGGCAGGGAGCTATGGAAGAGGGTGATTTTAGGTGACTTCAGATTTGGGAGTCTGGGAGTGCCTCTCGGAAGAGATGACATTTTATATGTTGAACCTGAGAGATGGGAGGGAACAGTGATTCAGTGACCCTGACAGGGAAACAAGTATACAGGCTGTATGTTTGGTGGGATTGAGGAAGAGAACGGAGGCTACGCTGTCTGAGTCATCATGGTGAGGAGACAGAAAGAGGTAGGCAGACTTTGGGTGCCTTTGGAAATCAGAGCTTGGTTTTGGATTTTATTTAAGTGTAGCGGGAGCCATTTGGAGGGTTTTGAGCAATAAGCTGAAATGTTCACTCTTGCTTCTGTGGGAAGAGTGGACTAGGGGCCAAGATATGCATCAGGAAAACCAGTCCATTGTACATGTCCAGGTGAGAGATGCTATTGCCTGAGACAGAATGAAGAAGTGAAGCTAGAGGAAAGGAGATGACTGTGAAGGTAGAGTGGGCAGAACTTGCTGAGGGTGTTTCAACTCTTTTAATTTTTTTGTTTTAGTAATTATATTTTAAAGGCTGCAACATTTGCTTTTATATAATAGCTTCATTAATATATATATAATTCACATCCCATATAATTCACCCATCTAAAGTGTTCAATTCAGTGTTTCTGAGTATATTCAGAGTTGTGCCATCATGACTACAATTAATTTGAGAACATTTTCATCACTGCAGATAGAAACCTGCACCCATTAGCATTCACTCCCCATTTCCTGCCAACTCGCCTAACTCTAGACAACCACCAGTCTACTTTCTGTCTCTATGGATTTGCCTATTTTGGAACATTACATGTAAATGGAATCATATACTATGTGGTACTTTGTGACTGGCTCCTTTTACTCAACATACTGTTCTCAAGGTTCGTCAATGTTGTATCCTGTATCTGTACTTTCTTCCTTTTTTTTTGTCTGGATGATACTCCATTGTACGGCTATACTACATTTTATCCATTTTTCTAATTTGGGGCTAGTGTGAATAATATTGCAAGATACATTTTTATATCTGTTTATTCTTAAACATAAAATATATTTTCAAATCCCCGCTCTTTCAGTGGCAGCCTGTGGGTTTTTGTTTGTTTACTTGTTTGTTTGTTGTTTCATAAATTCAGTGTCTTCTCAGATCTCTTGAAGTACACTCCTTCCCTTTTTCCCCCCTCTTATTTCTTGCTAGCCTGTGGGCCATTTAGTTTTTTATTTCATTCCATTTATTTTTAGCTAGTGGGTTTGTTCAGGTGTCTGATGATTCTTGTTTGTCTGCTTCCTCGTTCATGTTTATAGTAAGAGAATAATAGTTCTGTTTACCTCTACAGAAGGTCTTCCTCAAGTGGGCTTGTCTGACATACTCCAACATTGAATTCCACGGACTGCATGCTCCTCACTCTGAATCCTTGTTTGTGGTAGTGCTTAACCTTATTGGGTTATGACTGTTTGTCTTCCTTATAACTCTAGATTTCAAGAGCAGATGCCATACGTAACTAATTTCATTTTGTATATCCAACTTTTCTTTCATCGGGCTTCATAAATAATAAATACATGTTTGTTGAATTGAATTGTATATCATATTTAATTGTCAGGCATTTAAAATGTGTGTATGGTTGTTTTTTTTTTTAGAGGCGTGGAGCTATTTCCTATGACAGCTCTGACCAGACTGCATTGTACATTCGTATGCTAGGTAAGCATTTTTTATTTTGTACCAATATCAGTTAATTTTATTATCACCTACTATTATTTGAAATTGAGATATATTTAATTAGGTAGCTTTTCATCCCTGTTTACAGCAGAAATAATCTATTACTTTGAAACTGAGTCTAGAAACCAATATTGAATGTGATGTGAATAAAGTGGCATTTAAGTTTTAGGTAATTGAGAAAACTGGCGTAATAACTGGGACTCTGTCACTCATGCCCAATTTTAAATTGCATCCTGAGTATCTATAATAATAAAGTATAATATGCTAATTAGACCGGATGTCCTTCCAGATGACTTCGGACAAGCCTGGGCTTCGAGGGCCGAGGCAAGCTGCCATGGCTGCCACCGGTGGGTGCGCTGGGCCTCCTCCTGCGAGGGAAGCCTGGGTCCTGGGTGCCAGAGGGAAGCCGGTGCCAGCAGCCAGAGGGAGGAAGGCCTACTCTTGCACGAATTTCATGCATTGGGCCTCTAGTTCTTTATAAAAAGAATCTTAGATTTGTAGAGTTGCTAAGTACCAAACAGATGTCCATGCTAGCATAGACAAAGATGCAGCCATGAAATTCCTGACCAGAGTCCTGTCACTGGGTGTATTTTGTTCTCAGTTGGCTGGCGAGGAGAGGACCATGTGTCTTCTAATCTTAGTTCTTAAGTTTTTAAGGTATTGCTTAAGTCCACAAAGTAACATGAATTTTCACATGTATGTCCATAAGTTTCTCTCTCTCTCTTTACCAGATTTCACTCTTTACCCCCACACTACATTCCTTATACTTTAATTCATACTGTTAAAAATTTACTGTTAAGATTCCAATAGGCAAATTTGCTCATCTTTTCTTAAAGGCATCTTCCATGACAACTCTCCTCATGCTCTGAATTCTTCTCTCAATTCTATGATATGAGCATTTCTTACTCTTCACCTACTTTTTGTTGTTGTTGTTTTTCCTTTTTCACTAATTCCTTTAGATACTCTTAAGCCTAAATGTTCTCCAGTGTCCTGTTTTTGCTCTTTTTCATTTTTTCCCCTCTTTAATTTAGCTTGTGTATCTTATCTGCCTCAGTTTCATTCTACTCTGGTACATATTGTCTCCCCACAAATGTTCAGCCCTTTCCTCTTCACTGTCTCCATCTCTCTCCAAACCTATTCAGGATTTTGCTCTCCTTGAAACAGCTTTTTAGACTCATTTTTTTTAAAACTCTGTTGAACTTCTCCACATGGGCATATAATGGGTACTTCACATGTAAAATGTCTGTTAGACAAAAGATTTGTGTTCTCAAGGTTGTTCATTTTGCAGTCTTGCCATCCCAGAAAATGTAACTCCATTCTTCTGGAGTCATTCTTGACTCTTATTTCTTCTGTACTCTATGTCTACTTTATCAGCAAATCTTCTTGGCTGGTACCTGCAAAATATAACCAGAATTCTGCCCCCCCCCTCCCCCCGCCATGCTGTTACCATCTGTTCTCAGCCATAGCAGATTTTTAACGTTAGTCCCATTGTTGTACATTAGAGCTCCAGAGCTCATCTTGCATAACTGAAGTGTTGTACCCCTTGACCAACATCTCCCCATGTCCCCTCCCTACAAGCCATAGTTATTTCTGTGTTTATTGTGCTTCTTAACTAGTTTACCTATATGACTCTACGCAACTCTAGTGTGCCCAACCAGAGCCAGTCTTTGCAGACATAAGTTAAATTGCTCTTACTAGCATGTTCAGAATTCTTTAATAGTTTTCTATCATAGAGTAACAGCCAAAGCTAATGTCCCACGAAGGTCCAATATGATCTGGCCCTACTACCTCCCACCAGTTCCCTTCACTCACCTCACTCCAGCCATGCTGCCCTCTTTGCTTGACCTTGAACATGCCAAGCATACTGCCATCTAAGAGTATTTACTTATTAATTATACTTGCTCTTTCTTATGCCAGGAAACCTCTTCCACCAGATACCATATGGCTCCCAGCCTCACTTCCTTCAGGTCTCTGCTCGGATGCCTCCTTTTCAGCGAGGCCTTCTCTGACCACACTAATGAGTCGCTCCTCCTCTACCTTGCTTTCATTTTCTCCACGTTACCAGCTGCCATCATCTATAGAACGAAACTATTCATTTTACTATTTGCCTCAATCCATGAAAGGATAAGCTTCATGAAGACAGGAACTTGTATTTTGCTTGCTGCTATATTTCCTGAGTCTGCAGTGTGGCTGGGTGCACAGTAAACATTTCCTACAGGGTGAAGGAAGCAGCACTTGAGAGAAGTGGTTAGTCTTTGTGGGATGGACTCAGGGTAGAAATGATGGCCTTACTTAGAGAAACAAAGAGTAATAAGCACGAACACAGGGATAGGGACTGGAGACTTAAAGTTTATGAACTGGGAACTGTGGAAGTATCGTGGAGCCTGCTGAGTGAGGTTTAAATCCTCTCACCCTTTACACTAGCTTTGTGGCATGGGCATGCTACTTCTCAAAATCTCAGTTTCCACATCTATAAAATGGGATAAAGGTCCTCTCTGTCAGAATTGGCTAGAGAATTAAATAAAATAATGCTTATAAAGCACAAAAAAAGAGTGCCTGGTCCATGGTTTGCAATGGTGCTATATGGAGAAGAACATCTGATTATCATATGGATACATGTAGAAACAGTGTGAGTTTGTAAGAACAAAATGTAAGAACCAGCTAAAGGCCTTGGGTATACTCACTGTCAATGAGAATAGAGAGATTGATCAGATTAAACAAGGCAGAATCTTTGACATTTTACTTTTCTGTACATTCAAAAAAATTGTAGGCTGCTTGAGAATAGGTAATGTGTTTTCTATTTCTTCATATCCCCTATAACCTCTAGTTTAGTGCTAGGTATCAAGTAAACGGTTCATAAATACTTATTTCTCTGTGTGGCTTTTTAACATTTTGTGCTGAGGATTTTTTTTAACTACTTGTGAGTAATAAGGTATTAGGTTGAATTATCATACACTTGAGTCATCTTTCAGAAAGCTAACTTTAAAATATAGATTATTATAATAATTATTGTAGGAGTAGATTTAAAAAACATGTCCATTTAGCCTTACAACTCAGTACTGAAAATTTATATAAAGCAGCTCTTAACTACTTGTTCCATATGTATTACTAGTGGGCCACGCACTGTGTATGACTGTCACACACATAGGCCTTTGTTGCATATGGGAGCTTCTTCCCAGACGGCAGCCTTCTCAGCTGTGTTTCATCCTTGACCCACCAGGAGATGTGCGCGTAAGGAGTCGAGCAGGATTTGAATCAGAAAGAAGAGGTTCTCATCCGTATATTGATTTTCGTATTTTTCACGGTAAGTGTTGGCAAACACAGTATTTATCTCGGACATTGAGAAAACTTCAGATCTTTATAAAATTACATAATTTTCCAAGGGAAAAAGGAATATAAGAGAAAACTGTATTATGTTTGGAATGTTTTAAAAAACACTGGGTCATGGTAAATGACACTTTATTCCTAGATGATGTTAGTAAAATGTTTAGAGATAATTAAAAGTATGAAAGCTGATGTACTTTTCCTTCTTTTTAATTGAAATGTGAAATTATTTTGGTACATTTTTTCTTTGAAAAAATTGTTTTTCCTTGATTTTTAAATTTTATTTTTCAATTACAGTTAACATTTAATATTATTTGTATTAGTTTCAAGTGTATAGCATAGTGGTTAGACAGTCATATACTTTACAAAGTGATACTCTCAGTGTTTACTCTACCTGACACCGCACATAGTTATTACAGTGTTATTGACTATATTTCCTATGCTGTACTTTACCCTCCTGTGACTGTTTTGTGGCTATCAATTTGTACTTCTTAAACCCCTCACTTTTTTCATCCAACCTCCTGACTTCCCTCCCGTCTGGCAACCATCTGTCTGTTCTCTATATTTATGAGTCTATTTCTAAAAATATATTTTCTTTAAAAAATTTTTTGCTCCACATGTTTTGTCTTCACTACTCCAGATGTTTCTGTGCAAATGACATTTTGTAAAGGTATTGCATAATTAACAAGGTATGTTCTTTTGGTTTATTTGAAAATACACATCACCTTTAAAATGTTTGGTAAAATGCATATTTTGAAATAAACATTGTGTGGGTCTGGCCCACAATGGAGAAAAGGGAAAAAACAAAACTTCTAAAACCTTTAAGTATTAAACACATTAAATCTATTTTTGGAGAAGTTCCACTTTTGGTAATGTTGGTTAAATTATTTGGATTAATACTCTAGTTAAGAATATTAGAAAGATTGGCAAAACATAGAAGATGTATTTGAGTATATCAGAATGCTACTAAGGCAGAGACATGAGCTCCTTATTCAGGCTACTTTTCCCCTTAGTAGCATCTGTTGATTCTGAAAAAGGTGGGTAAGCTGAGCAGAGATTTTGGTGGACACTTAAGGGTAGAAAAACAAAAACAGGTGTTTAGAGTTCACCAACACTTGGAGATTGGTTCTGGTAAAACCTTGATGTTTAAATTAGAAACTCTGAAGTAAACCATAGAAATAAATCCCAGCTTTGAAACATATCCAGTGATTAGATTAAGATTATCTGTGGCTTTAATGTCTCTAGTCATCTGCTAGGAGTAAATATTAATCCCATTAGTCTCAATTTACCTGTACATTTTTCATATGCAATATGAAACACTGACTTAAAAATAAAAAGGCATAATGAGACAAGACAGTGTGACCAAAGTGAAGAGGAAACAACAGACAATAGAAATATCTATATGGAATTATTATACATGGGCTTTAAAATAACTAATTATTGTACATATTGTTCATGGGTTTACTGAGCATTGACCCATGAACAAGAGGTCACCAGATCAATTCCCTGTCAAGCAACATGCCTGTGTTGCCAGCTTGATCCCCAGTAGGGGGCACACAGGAGGCAGCCAATTGATGTTTCTCTCTCTCATTGATGTTTCTGTCTCTCTATCCCTCTCCTTCCTCTCTCTCTAATATCAATAAAAACATTTTTAAAGTAACTAAATGCAATTACATTGATAAAAATAAAGAGACAGGATTGAGAACTTCATTGGAGAACTGGAAATTATAGAAGAACCAGCTGGAAATTGTGAGACTGAAAAATACTATACCTTAAATATGAACTAATTTAAGATGGTTTTAACAGCAAATATGGCCAAAATGAAGAGATAATTAGTGAATTGGAATATAAGCCAGAAGAAAATATTTAAAATGAAACACAATGAGGCAAAGGGTAGAAAGTGCAGAAAAGATATGGAATATGTTCCAGTTACATATTGCTCTATACCTGTCAAGAATTTGTGAAGAATCTGGGATTTTACCTTCTAAGCTAACAAGTTTGCCTATTACTGCTTCATGGATGTTGGCAGAAGGCACAAAACTTCTGGGTCAGAGACAAAGGACTTTATTATTCATGACCCAGCAATATGAGTATCATATTGTGTCGGTTCCTCCAGTACCCAGCCTCCCCTATATCCTACAGTGGCAACCTGGAGGGGGTTATGTGAATATTTTACCAACAATGAGTCTGCATCACCTCTTAGGAATAATGAGCTTGGGAATTTACCTTTTATAGTAAGAATACTCTTTATCCCAGGGAAAGATCTTATCCCTTAAGGATGCTAGCTGCAAACACAGCCCTGAGAAATGGCCCAGGCAATGATTGGTCAGGGCTTGGCATTCTTGGCACGTGCAATAAGAAAGAGAACTGACCCTGGGGCCTTTGTGGAGGATTACCTCTCCCAGTAGTAACAAATGACCCCAAAATGTACTGGCATAAAACAACTTTTATTTATGATCATGAATCCGAGGGTTAAAAATTCAGTCTGGGTTAGGTTTATGCTTCATAATGTCTTCATCTTCAGCTGGGGTGGTTCAAACAGCTAGAGATGGCTGTGGTGGCTCCACTAGGTCCATGTGTCTGGGGTCCTTCTCTACATGCTGTCTCCTGGGGCTAGAACATCCACAATGGCTTCTGCACATTCATATCTGCTACCAGGGCTGGGATGACTGGAATTTCTGGGGCTGGCCAGGAATTCTCTCTCGGTTAATGGCAGTCCAGAGTAGTTAGTCTTGACAGTTGCCTTCCCCCAGAGAAAGCATTCCGAGAGAGAGGAAGTGTGGGGGTTTCTAGTCTTTGTGGTCTGGGCCTGGACACGAGTACAACATCATGTTTTTATATTCTCTCGATCAGCTTATCACACCACTTTTCAGATTCATGCAGAGAGAACATAGACCCTGCTTGTCAATGGAGTATGGTTTAAAAAAGTTTCAGTCTTCTATCTCTATCTGATACAAAATGTATTGAAAGGTGATTAGGGTCCCAGGAAAGGAAGGGGAGAAGATAGCAGAAGCAGTCTTTGGAAGGATAATGCCTGAGAAATCTCTATGGCTTGATAAAAGACATTAAGGTACAGATTCAAGAAGCATTATGAAAAAAAAAAGCATTATGAATCTCAAGTACAGAAACATTACAAGATAACCACACCTAGATGTAGCAAAGAATAACTTACAACCAAAATCAGAAAATATTCAAAAGATAGAGAGAAAAAATTATTACCTTAAAAGAAGCAACTATGACATTGCCAGAAACAGGTTATTTCATTTTCAGCAGAAATCAAGAAACGAGAAGATTACTTCGAAGTGATGGGGAAAAAATAAATAACCATAAAACTAAAATTTTATCCGCAAACTCTTGAGGATAAGAGAAAAAGAGTACACTTCACCACTTATGTAAGAGTAACAGAATCTTGATACTAAAACCTGACAAGGACAAGACAAGAACAGAAAATTACAGCCATTATCACTCACAGATATAGAAGAAACATCCTAGATAACATGTTATTAAATTAAGTCTGCAATTCATAGGAAGACTAATATATTTTGACTCAATTTATATTTTTCCAAAAAAGTAAGATTGTTTTAACATTAAAAAATCAGTCATTGTGATTCATCACATTAATAGAATAAAGGAGAAATGTCATGGATAGACTATATATACCACAAAAGCATTTGATAAAATTCAACAGGCACTTCTTGACAAAGTTTTGAGCAAACTAGGAATGCAGAAAAACTGATTTAATCTGAAAAGGGTTTTTTTTACAGGACCTATAGCCTTTCTCAAATGTCTGCTTTCACTCAACCCTATAAGAGGTAACCAGGCAACTTCCTCATTTTCCTTTCCTCCTTTTGAATAAATCGGCTAAGTAAGTGGGCAGGATTGGATTAAGGGCTCCCAAAATTCCTGCACATATTTTCCTATGTTCATTTGGCCATATACCTGGCATCTTGAAACATAATATTTGAGTCTTAAATCTATTAGACTTGATTAAATGAATTCCATATTGACTTTTTGTCAAAACTTACCTTGTTTGCTCTAAATTTATAGGTCCCTAAATTCGTGTCATTCTTTTAGTTACACATTATTTTGAGTTTACTTATATAATAACTAGAGGCCCGGTGCACAAATTGGTGCATGGGTGGGGTCCCTCAGCCTATCCAGCGATTGGGTTCGATCAGGGGGTTGGGGGGAAGGGGGAGGAGCGCCCTTCAGCGGGGAGGGGGACAAACGGAAGGTTGGCCCCAGCAACAAGCTAACCAACAGCCAATTCCGCAAGGAATCGGGCTCCTTCCTCCCTCCTGTCTGGGTCCGGGGTGCAGGTGAACCAGATTCGGGGTGTCAGGGCCCCAGCAGCAAGCTAGCCAGTGGCCAATTCTGTGAGGAATTTGGCTCCCTCCTCCCTCCTGTCTGGGTCCGGGGTGCAGGTGAACCAGATTCGGGGCTGTCAGGGCCCCAGCAGCAAGGTCTGGGTCAGTGCGCATCATAGCTACCAGCCGGTCATTCCGGCCTCTTAGGCTTTTATATATACAGTGGGGCCTTGACTTACAAGTTTAATTTGTTCCGTGACGGAGCTCGTAACTCAAATTACTCGTATGTCAAATCATAAAGCGAACAAGCGAGACGTGATGCTGGGCTGATGTTGTGGCGTTCACTGTGACGTTTGCTGTGCCAACTAGCGGTGGGGTATCTGAAGCTGGCTCGTAACCCGAATTTTAGCTCACAACTCAAAGCAAAAAATTGGCCGAGAGACAGCTCGTATCTCGAAAAACTCGTTAGTCAGGACACTCGTAAGTCAAGGCCCCACTGTATAGACAGATAAGTGCTAATAGCTTCCTATATAATAAAAGCCTAATATGCTAAGTGTCCAGTCATCTGGTTGTCTATTCAACCAATTAAAGTATAATATGCTAATGATATGCTAAGGCTGCTCAACCGCTTGCTATGATGTGCACTGACCACCAGGGAGCAGACAGTTGACCA